CCCCCCGACCCCCAGTCCTTCCCCGCCGCTTAGCCTGGAAGCTTATATAACTAGATCACTCCCCATTTATGTTCCCTGCTCTCGGCTTACGAACACACCTCTCTCCTCCTCCCGCTCAGCCCACGCGAAGGAGAGGAGGTCACATTCATTCACTGACAGATGGCTTTTAAGAGCGAGAAGTAGCAGTCGGCGCGGTGAGTAGAAGCAGCAGCTCAGTCGCTGTGGAGCGTTCGAGCCATCCCGCCCGTCCGCGTCGGCAGTAAGTATAACCGGGTCCGTCGTCTGGTGACTCGCGGTTCTTATCAGCACACGTCTGATAATGATAAAAACATTGAACAACGATGAGCCCACGACCAACTTCTACCCGCCACTTTCTCATTTGAGAGACGTGGACGACTATTGGACATCCAAAATCGAAATGACTATGATTTCTTGACCACTAGCACCCAAATTGCCTAAATCGACTTAATTTTACTCTCCGAGGGATATGGCGGCCTCAATACAATTGTCCCGTTACATGTCACATGACCACTCAAAGTTGCATAAATTGGCAGTGTACAATGCACGAAAGTGCCAAAAAAGTGTCTATTGATGTTCTATGAAGAAAGCAAAAATGCTGTTGTCTTTGTAGGTCTTATGGTTTGGTTGATTAATGACAAAATGCCTTAATACTAATTACTACTAATCATTTTTTTTATTTTTTAATTAATTTTCAGTGACTTAATGTAATACATTCTATTCCACAGGAAAACAAGTTTGTTGGGGTGTAGAAAACTCCACCTCTCCCTCTTGCGCCATCCGTCCATATTTTCAGAAGTTTCAGTTTATCGTATACTTCGAAATACCATGTACTCTGTATCTGACCAGAGCAAGAATGGTGGCTCTCAGGTGGAATGCTATTTATTAATTCTGGACTTTCAATGCCCACTGATTTATTTTTTATTGATTTAATAATTTTTCATTGATTTTTCATAGAGCATTATTATAGACCTGCGAAGTGATACGGTCACTAAGCCATCCTTAGAAATGAGGAAAGCAATGTTTGAGGCAGAGGTTGGAGACGATTATCTCCGTGAAGATCCAACTATTGAAAGTATTACTTTAAAAATATGTATACATTTTTGAATTTTACAAGCTACTATGGTCTAATGATGAATTTTTTCTTTGTTTGCACAGCCCTTCAAAAAAAGATCGCAGAAATTTTTGGGAAGGAGGCGGCTTTGTTTACCCCAAGCGGGACAATGAGCAATTTAATTGCTGGTAAGGTTGTCAAAACACTTTTAACATTTTTGAATATTTAGTTCTTATTACATATGTTTTTCCTTTCTTAAGTGATGGCTCATTGTAATGCTCGAGGAGACAAAGTACTCATTGGTGATAAGAGCCACATACTACAACATGAGGATGGAGGAGTCTCAGAGGTATTTGCTTCTATTACTAGCTATGAAATTGAAGAAATACATTGGCCTTGGTAGCTTAAGACATATCTTGTATTATTAGGTGGGGGGTGTGATGATAAACACAATACCAAACAATCCTGATGGTACATTTGATCTCAAATTAATGGAAAGATCTTGGGGTGGTGTATCTTTAGTTTGTATAGAGAACACATTTGGTCATGGTGGAAGTGTTCTACCAATCCAATTTCTTGATGAGGTAAATTATAAACTCACTTTGCTACAACAACATTTGTCTGATTGTGAGAAAATCAAATTCTATAAAACTTTTGACAGATTGCGTCTATCTTGTCAAAGAAAAAGATTCCTCTCCACCTTGATGGTGCACGGATTTTCAATGCTGCTGTCTACCTTGATGTACCAGCATCTCGCCTGGTGAAGGATTGTGATTCTGTGTCCGTCTGTCTCAGCAAGGGACTAGGTGCACCAGTTGGTTCATTGCTTGTAGGTACTCAAAATTTCATTAATAGGTAAATATTTTAGACTTGAAATTGTTAAATCCACAAAATTACATTGTGACTAAGTATTATGTAACTATTGACTAAACTTCTTACTCACAGAGCCCGTAGGCTTCGACATCTTTTAGGGGGAGCCATGAGACAAGTTGGTGTTCTTGGTGCTCCAGGCCTTGTTGCATTAGAGAGTGGAGTACAAAGACTTGCTGAGGATCATCAAAGAATGTACAGAATTGCAGAAGGTAGATAGAAACTACATTTTCCGTTTATAATAAGTCCTTTGATGGATGAGTTGGAATTTAAAAAGTAATTTCTTAACAGCTGTGGCTGCCATGAAGAGTGATTGCCTCTACCTGCATTTGGATTTGAACTTGGTTCACACAAATATACTCATTATTAAAGTGAACCCTAAATGTTGTTCTGCAGAGGAGCTAGTGAACAGATTAGACATGGAAAGTAAAAAAGAAAAGCCTTGTACTGAATTGAAGGTATTTTGAAAACCTAAATTGAAAATTAATATTTTTCCAGGTCACCAAAAAAGAGGAGGCTGCGATTGGAAAGGAAATAAGAATTAAGTGCTATGAGATTGATTACCAGGCAATAAGATTTGTCACTTACAACGCTATCACAGACTCTGACATAGATCTTGCTATCCAAAAACTAGCATATGTCAACGAAGAACTGCAAGAAAAATTATCTAAAACTACCCAGTAGAGCTCAAATTAAGTTTTTTCAGGAGAAATGACTAATATTATTGACAATTCAGTCTTTAAGAAATGTATTTCAAAATGTATGAAAACCTGGACAATATCTAGTTTGGTTTCACAGAGGGGGAGAGAGTGATGTGCGGTTGACAAATTTACAAGCCAAGCTTCGCTACACTATCGAGTTTTGTAAATACTTAAAGAGCATCTGGACTAGATGGAATAGAAATAAAGACTTAGATCAGACAGATGGTTCAAGTTGTACAAGACAATGTAAGCTAACATTCTTCTCTGAATAAAAGTAAATAATATGCACCGGTATTTCATTTTGTAAGTCAAATTGACACAACACTTGAGAGAGATACAATTCAGTTGACAAAAATCCTTTACACTCTTGCAGTTGAAATATTTTTCAAATAAATTAACTTTGGTTGTGGTAAAATTACTATGACAACTGAAGATAGCATCTTTTGATTTGAAAAAGAACAGTAATTTTAACAATTTAGTGATTACAGTATTTTGTATGGCAAATCTGTTTTTCATAAAAATTGACCAAATTTTAAATTTGTAATACGCACAGCTTGGCACTCGCATGCATGTTAAACACTCCGCAGACAAATAAAATCAATGGTAACAGAAAAAGTTGGCATTTTCATTAAAGCATCAATACATATGAGGAAATAATACAATAAATGGAACATAATTACTCGATGAAATACATTTCATGGTTAATTACTACATAGGATAATAGTAAGGACTCAAAGCCATATCATAACTGCATAGGTAAAACATGTAAAAGAAAAAGGGAAATGAATTTCTGGCGATTGCTGTACAACATACATAATAATAAAATAAAACATGACTAGAGTAAGGCAGGGTTAAAGTCCTCTATGGGCTTCAGTTTGTACAAAAAAAATAATCTAGAGTGGCATAAAAATTAAAAAGAGAATGAATTCTGAGGGTTGAAATATAACACATTTATGTACCCTCTGTATTAAAAATGATGGTAGATGAAAAGACAGGGACTAGAATATTTCTCACTTTGCATGCATCTTCTTTTCAACATTAACAAATTGCAGTGGCCTGAAAAGGATCATACAATAGTTTGAACTTTCTTCCGTACATAGTAACCCTTGTAGCACCACACATTCAGACAACGTTCTGAGAATGTTCTGTTGGTTCTCTGAAGGTTCTGTAAACGTTCTAAGAACGATATGTGCTACAAGGGAAGGTTGGATTTGAAGAAAAGGCAATTCATCCATGTTATTGAATGAGCATACAAATTACTAAATTTTCTGGTACCTGAGAATAGGAGATGAAACATGGGTCATGATATAACTCCAGTAGAGAGGAAAATTTGTGCGATATCCTAGCAGTACACATTGAGTAAACTAAACGTAATGTTTCTCAAAAGTTCAGTATTTTGATTGATGGCAAATAGATAACATAAGACTACAGAATTAACAATAGATATATTGTTATATTTCAATTCAACACTACAATGATTATGAATGTCAAAATACATTGCATTAAAGCTACCATAAATTGACTATAGAACCATGGAAGTCATGACTTAAGATTTTTGTCCAATACAGTTTGAGCACATCATCCTTACATCTTAAGCTTTCTTACTTCGCCATCAATCATTTTCACCATTGGTTACCAAAATTCTCACAAACATTACTCAATTTCAAAACTTTAAATCCTTTTTGGTCACCAAGCTGATGGTATCCCTCTCTCTCTTTATGAAGAACTTCAACTGGCAGTGATACAGATAAAATACAGGATCCCTGTCAAACAGGTTTCTGACATAATATAAATAAACTTGGCACAGGCAAGAAATGGTAAAAAAGAAAATAGTAAATCATTTCTAGGAAGTAGAAATCATCAAAACATATGCACTACACAATAACACAGAATACAAATTAAAGCATAGCGAGTGTAGCTAACCACAACCACACATCCATTATAGAGAACAAACATAAGGCAAATTCATCAATCTTGTTAATATGGATTTTGATAATATGGTCATATTAGTTAACTAAAACACCTTTGTTGAGTTGCATAATCTCAATCTCTTATAGCTGCATCTGGGCACAAAAGCAAACAATACTTAAGGATTTCATGACTAAGACAGAAAAGTGTGAGGCTTCAATAGAAAATACTAGGGATTGTTTAAAATTTGCCATCAAACAAAATGAAATCACAGTTTATAAAATTTCACTAAAAAGGGTTAAGCCATTGGTAACTCAAAGGTAGTGTTACGCTCATTACAGACACTTGACTAACAAGTTAAGCAAAAATAAACAAATGAAAAATTTCTTTTACAGAGCTGAAACTAGAATGCATACCACTTCACAACTTAAAGCAGAACTTTGTATAACTTTCTACAAGCAGAAATTGAGCAACTTAACATATATCCTGGAAGGTCCAATAAAAAATGTTCTTTTCAGAAAAAATGTGGGTTTTACCTGTGTGCTTAAATGCACAAGTTAAATAAGGCCTTTTCCACAATTCCAGCACATTAGAGAACAATAACTTCATTATAAACTCTGTAACTCTATGAACTGTACCTTTCATTTAGGTTAAAAAGTATTGAACAGTCAAATGTACTGAGCGAGGAGAAGCTGTGTGACAAGAAATCCCTTAGCTCAAAGCTAAAAGAAACTCCATGCAGTTCTACTTTGTATTTGGTCCATTAAAAATTGAAAACTCAAAGTAAATCAGCAACAAGCAATGGCACTGTCATCAGAGCTCTAGAGAAAGTATAACAATTTGGCATGCAAAATTTGTGTTAGCACCACTTCTCTCAAAAAGATGATGCCTAGTCATGACAAAAAGAGTAAACTTAAGAGAGCATTTAATTATTTTAAAAAAGCACTTGTGTTTAAGATCTTGCTTAAAAAAATCAATTTTCAATTCATAAGATGTGAAATCAAATCAATTAAGTAACTACACATCCAATTTAAAGATGGAAATCTAGATTATTTGGGGAGAACAGCTTATCATTCAATTAAGGAGGTCTGAGGCTTGAAATAGATATCAAACACCAGACTTTTTGGTCCACTCTACATGCCACCTGTTTCTGGTGCAAAAGATTTTTGGTTTCAGAAATGCATGAGTTACTTTCATGATTTTCTGATTTTGTTGAATCAATCTTAGAAATGCTGCACTAAATAAGACAGCAATCACAGACCGCTTTAAAATCATAATTCCTCCTACACAGATCACATATGTACAGTGTACAAATATTAATTAAGAAATTCTGACCAAACTACGAGCAGATGTTGCAAATTACCATACATACCATCATCATGCATAAGTTTTGAGATTCTATCTCGCTATTCATGATGCATCACAAGTGCATGTATTTATTAGGATTAACAATCATGAATTCTATCAGGACACGATTAATTATTAAGGGGCTCACATGGTACTTGATAAGGTGTCTTTTGGAAACATTAAACAAAATATTTCTTTTATGTTGAGATTTACAGAAAAGTGACTGTACTCTCACATGAACAAGAAATGCAATGATTACTAGCAAAATGTTTAATATTCTACAAGAAGGGGAGGGGAAAATGTACCTCAAACAAAATTAAGAGAGCGCTTGTAAGAAGAAATAAATACAGATACTTGAAACATGGCTTAAATAACAGTTGGTAAATACAGATTAAGTATAAAGAATAGTGCAAAACTAAGTGCACTGGGATTTTACAACTGTTGTTTCTTACTTTTCAATGGAACTCTCCTGTATCCTATAAAGATAAGGGTGTGGTTTTCTTTGACTTTTCTACCTATGGAGTTTGAGATTTTTCCTGAACAGCAACAGCAATACATACTAAATGACAGTACATAATACAAGAGCTGAAAATAAAGATAGAATATACCTAGATAGATAAACTCCTCAAGGATTTTGAATTTCTTGAAGGAAATAGGTGAGCAAGATAGTAAATGACAAAACAGATTCATGGGGCTAATTTTGATACTTACTGACTCATAATAATCTAAAAGAAATGGCTTACATATGATGTGCATCATGCTTATGACAAGCTTGGCTCATCCACATGCTAAACGGCACAGTGATTAACTCAGTATATAGTGCAGCTTGGTAAATGTACTTACGTTATTTAAAGATTCAATAATATTAATAATAACAATAATAATAATAATAATAATACCACTGATTCTTCGTACAACACTGACTGATTTTCTCACATTGCCCCACAGTCGGCATTGAAATTCAATTAGGAGATGTACATGCCAACAAGGTACAGTATTAGAAGCATTTCTTGATCACAATTGAAACACAAAACTTACAATTAGGTATCATTAACAGTCAAGCAAACAAACAAACAAACCAACCAACTCAAGGCAAAAAATATACAGCCAAGTCTCCTTTGACAACAATGCAGACCACAAATTCTATACCAGATACTTTGTGTGAATCAAGTGAAATGGCATACACAATGAAAAAACGGGACAAATAATTGTTGGAGCAGAGCGTACTCTCCTTAACAGTAACACACTTGAGGTGATAATAATTTCCTAAACAGGCATGGTTGGGTCAGCCATGATCATAAACATAAAATACATAGACGCACAAACTCTTGGTTCTCAGTGGAGATGGACATCCGACAATTGATTAATTGATTATAGTCCTCAGCTTACTTCTCTTATGACTCAATTTGACTGCAATGCACATACATTTCATGTTGTCATAAATTCACTCCTTGAATTTCAATCAAATTGATCACTTTACTTTCAGATACTAATTTCTGATAGCTTTCAAACCCACATAAAAAAGAGTAAACTGGTACCTGCAAATTAGGTGCAGCCAAAAAGAAGATGCTCCAAGACCAGTGCCATCAAGGAGCTACTTCCCAAAACATAAAAACCAACTCATTTACCAGTAAAGTCTGGCCAGTAGTTTACATAATACCTGTGGGTACTTCCCTCAAACAATCTATCAAGCCAATTGGGGAGACCGTCTAACAAGTTCCCTTGGAAAAGAACTCCAGCTGAGTCGCCTGATCCCTATATTAAACCAAAAAGTATAAGGATTAGAGATTTCTTAGATGTTGCACAGGAAAAGTATTTTAGTATGGTTCAAAAGCTGAAATATTATTACCTCGCTAAGTTGACGGGCTCCCTTTTCAATATCTTCTGTGTCACTTTCAGATTCACTTGTTTCGAACCCCATGAAGGCACCACTTCCGGCATTGAAAGGAGGATTACTAAACTGTTTAGTCATTTTAACCATACGCTGTTGAACAAAGAAACATGGACGTAGGATCAATCTCCACAAATTCTGACAGAGGTCATTAAAAGAACAAGTTTGAGTGGAGACTGACCTTAGAGCCTTGGCCACGGTTACATTCTGGATGTTTGGCATGGTACATACAGAAATATTTTCTGTGACCATTCAAAGATAAGACAGTACCAATACAATTCCGTGGATTAATGTTCAATTCTCGAGGCTCAGGTAAGCTTAGCTGCAACAATCTTTTGTACCACTCAAGGCCACGGTCTAATGACAGATGTGCAAACATCAGAGTTTTATTCCTGTAAGATCAGAACAAGATGCATAGTTAATACATGACAAAATGTAGATATAAATGTATATATCATGCTTTGATGTGAGGTGGCTCTTCTTACTTCCGATATGGCCAAACAGTTTTGTGGAAGCTTGGTAATAGGGAAGTCCTCGACTGCATATCCACCAGTAGTATAATTGTCCGACAACCAGGTTTCAACAAACGTACAAGACCATTGTAGTTCTCTGCCCTCATCTCATGCAATTTTAACTCTGGTACATAACTGCCATTCTGCAAACCAAAAAATCTAAAATAAGTAAAGATAACTAAAAAAATATGGTGCTACTCACTTCAATGCGAATTTCATGCTACATACCTTGCCATTTTCTGAGGAGCTCTTACTACTGTCATCATTTTTATTCTTGCTTATGCTCTCTTCTTCAAGTCGCCTGTGGAATTTGAAATTAAGATTACAATTATAGTGTTATAAAGATAATCAACATAAAATGGTTGATTATGAAGACACATTAAACTTACACAAGATAAGCCATGAGATAACCACCACCAATGATGAACAGGATAGTTCCAAGCACAGATATAGCTGGTAAAATTTGGTCTTTGCCTATAGACTCCTTCAAAAAATCAGCTGTTAGCAAAAGTTTATTAACCATGCGCGTAACCATGCCCTGAGCATGCTCATCAATTAATTCCTGAAAAGAGATATGTGTGTTGACTCAAGATTAGATTAAGGACTTCAAAATTTTGAGTATACAGCATCAAAGACAACGAACCTTAACGATTGCTTCACCAGACAGAGCTGCATTAGACTGAAGAAGGCGGTGTATTGTTGATTCCAAGTGTGATTTTGTATCATTCCATTGATCAACTGATGCATCTAATCCATAAGGAAGCCATTCATATTTAATGTGAGAAGCGTCGCGTCGCCATAGGATAACAATGTGTAAGATTGATTCCACAGGGCTTCCTTCACCTGAACAAACAAATTTGAAATAAAATATTTTTGCATTGATCCATATAATTATGGTTCACTTTAGCAATTTATACTTACCAGTTGATAGAGAACTTATAAATTCACTCTGACGTTCTTTGAAAATATAGGTGAATCGTACTCTATCAGAATTGTAGGTTGACTCTTGAGCAAATTGGCGCAGAGCTTGACGGGGAGTGTCATGATATGGAGTGTTCTCAGAAACAAGTACAACACATAACCGTTTTCGTGGTTTAGCCCATTCAGGAGGGCATAAGGCATCCAAAAGAGTCTTCAGTGAGCAAAAAACCAATAGATTAGAGCATAAACAAGCCACCAAAAAGTGTGAGAGAGAGAGAGAAAGAAAGGAGTACAAACCTGTGAGGAGAGCCTTGGCAATACTAAATACTTATTTCTACTGATGACATCTTGCATAGTATTCACTGGTATATCAGCCATAGACAAACTAACAATAGGGCGACTATGATTTTCATTAAATATTAATAGCGTGTCAGCATCATGAGCAATTTTGAACTGCTTTTGCAACTCAACCGTGTCCATATTTCCAATGTTGACAGACCTGTTGAAAGGCAAATTAGTGAAGCCTATAAAATAAAAAACCAAAGGAGAAGGGCCAGACTTTACTTTCTCTATAACACCTACCCAAATGCTACTCGGTCACGAAAGTGGTATGCTGTAAGTAAGTAGCGCAACCGTGGCTGTTCCTTGTTTTCAAAAATAAGTGCTCTCACGCGGTTGTCAACCCAGCCTCTTAAAAAATCATGGGCATTATCATCATTCACAGTTTGCATCAAGTTATAAGGAAATTTCCCACGAATAAACTCTACAACATAAAAAATATCAGATAAGAAACTAGAAAGTGTGTAGATTATAAGGAGAAAGGGAAAAATGATAATACTGGGTACTGGGATGCTTTTGTGACTTACCAACAATTTTGTGCGCACTAATCATGGGCTCTCTGTATATGGTTGATTTACCCTCCATTAAGAGTGCCATGGTAGGCAGGGATCGGATTCCAACCTTCTTTGCAAGCAGAGCATCATTTTCTGAGTGAACAGTAGCAACTCCAACTCCTAAAAACCAAAATGACAGTTAAATAACAGAAAAATATAGATTAGATTTTACTAAAAGTGCAAGTAACTAACACTTTACCGATTGGTTCTAATTCTTCTATTATTTTTCTCCAGAGAGGTTCAATTTGAAGGCAAGGGAAGCACCAATCAGAGTAAAAGAGAATAAGATAAGGAATGCGGAAGCTTTTGGGCACCAAATTATTTTCATATGCTCTGAAAAGATAGAACAATGGAAGATTAGAATAAATTGGAGAAGAAATCATAAAACCACATCATCTAAACAAAAATAAAAACTAATTTCTGATGACTCACTTGGTTGTGACGCTCAGCTTATGAAATGATGTTATATCAGGTTCAGAACGCCTGAATCGAAAAGATCCATATCCAGGGAACCCAAATAATTCATCCATAAAATCAAATTTCTTTTGATATTGCTGGTTGTATTCACGTTTTTCCCTCGCAATAGCAGAGTCTCCAAGGACACCATACAAATCAAATTGCTTGCGTCTTTCAGGATCAGAGAGCAGCTAATAAGCCAAATAGGATGTGTTTTAAGAAAACAAATTGAATGTAAAACAATATCAAGGTAAAATGGTAATGTGGTACCTCATATGCTTGGGTTATTTCAACAAACTTTTCCTCAGCAGCTGGGTCATGGTTCTTGTCTGGATGCCTGGCAAAAATACAAGGGAATATTTATCAACACACAGTAAGGTCGAAGGGCTGGTGCAAAGGGTTTTGTGGTTATGATTAAAGAAGTGATTCAGTACATCAAAATTCAATTTTAAACCTGAACCAATAAACTAATGCAACAGAAACTTTTGAAGGTAGTGCAATGTTGTTAGTTAGCATAGCCAAAAGACACCTTTCTATTGAATCTGAGTTCTTATTAGGTTCAACGGATGTTTTTCACCAGTGATATTACAAGCAACGGCATGGAAATACTGGAAAAATATTCAAAAATGTGAGGACTTACCATTCTTTTGCTAAATTTTTGTAAGCCTTCCTTATTTCCGGTACTGTTGATGATTTGGGTATGCCAAGAACCCTGTAAGGGTCTGAAAATCCGTTGATTCCACACACCAGGAGACAAACAAATATACAAAATACCTTCCATATCATCTCTAAAAGTCCTGGACGAGAATCTTGATAGTTTCTCAACGTACGACGCTCTGTCAAGCTTTAAAAATCACAAATTTTGACCATTATCACAGTTAGCCTATATCTCCGCCTAACCTTTCCGATCGATAGATCCTCTGCGTTGCGCACAGCGCTGCGGCGGACGACAGACGAAAAGCAACAAAAATGGAGGAAGAACTATTTGCAGGTCATGGGCTGTATTTGCACATCAAAATAGTGAGTGCGCAGTGTTTGGGGGCGCAGACAGCCAGCTGCAGTCAGCGTTCGGCATTTGTGTGGGTGGGGAGAATAAATGGAGAAGATTTTTGGGATTTATGTTTAGTTTTCTGGTGATGATTTTGATTGAAACTCATACCGTTTGTGTCATTCACGTCTATTCTTCAAAACGCGAGTTCTACCATGGCTGCAAGGAGATCCGGAGGAGTGCAGAGAGTCTTAGATAAATTGGAGGCGTCTGTAAGCGCTGGCAATTTCTATGAAGCACATCAGATGTATAGAACTCTCTATTTTAGGTGAGCAAGTCATTTAAAGGTTAAGCACTAGGAAGAGTTTCCCTTTGTTTACCTTATACACTCGTCTTTGGCTATCATCAATGTTTCATGGTCAAAACTTGATGAAAATTGTGGTGAAAGTTGTGGTACCTACATAACTGAGAGGTTATATTTCGATGGTTCTACGTCGGTTTTCATTCAAATAATTTTTGATATGGTTTAGTTGTCAACCCCGCATTTGTTCAAAAAATTTCTGTCTGAAAACCTTCACATTTTTTATTTTTCATATTTATTTCCTTTCTAAAGTTTATCAAAGACATTTTTGCCAACCCCTTGACATTCTACACTATGATTCTACACATGATTTCCATTTGGACCAGGTACTCAATGCAAGAAAAGTATAAAGAACTGCTGGAACTTCTCTACAGTGGATCTAAACTTCTCCTTCAAAACAAGCAGGTACATGTTTACTATTATTCCTGTGCTGGGCCTACAACTCCTTGTTTTTAAAAATTCTGATCATTACAAATATATTGCAGCTGACAAGTGGCGCTGATCTATGCAATCTTTTTGTTGATGTACTTCAAAAATCATCAGAACCTGTGACAGAAGAACTTGTTCAGAAGTTGTCAGAGTTAGTATCATTTTTGACCGTTAGACTATGCGTAAATTTGTAAAGCTTTCCTGTAACTCAATACAGTACTGTTGCTTTTTGAGTTTGAAAGTTAACATTTAAATTGCAACTGTGGAACCTGCTGAGCTTTAATAGGTTTCATGTCTAACATTCAATGAGCTATTTAGCCGATACGAAATCGGCAGGAAGAAGAAGCCGTGGAGCCAAACAAACATTCAATTGTTCTGGTTTAAAGCAGACGAATTCATGGAACAATTGAATGTTTGTTTGGCTCCACGGCTTCTTCTTCCTGCCGATTTCGTATCGGCTAAATAGCTCATTTGTTCTTTTTCTTAATTCACACCATCATTTTTTAAAAAAAAATTTTAGACTCTATGGGTTAATTGGTCCAAATGTGCCCGAAAGAGACACTTTTCTCGCTAATGCAATGCGATGGTCTGCCAAGGGCTCACCTGAATATAAGACTGGCCATCCGCTACTTCATAAAGCGGTAGCTCAAACATCCTGGAGAGGTAACAAGTTTCATTTGCTGAGCATTGTAGGTGTCACAGCACCTTCCAAGGCAAAGTTTAACATTTTCTTTCATGTTTCAGAAAAGAATTATGTAGTTGCTAGGTACCACTTTTTGCATTCTAATGATGGATCAAGCTTTGCCATGATGCTGGTTGAAATACATACAAGGCAAGGATATCCGAGTGAAGTGGATCTTTTTATTACTCAAGTGGTTCTTCAGTAAGTATAAAATGCCGTAATACCTCTCATCTTGTGGCTGAAATTGGATTAATCATTAATCCCCCCCCCCCTTTCCCCCCTCTCTCTCCAAGGTACTTATGTCTTCAAAATAAAACCACTGCTTTTGATGCATTTCACTGGTACACATTGAAACATCCTAATATTAAGTCTGGGCCACCATATCTTTTGCCTCTTTTGAATTTTATCTGGTTCCTCTTAAAAGCTATAGAAAGGTAAATAAATCCTTATAAACTATTCTCATCAATATTTTCAGTAAATCATCTACTACCTAATCTGTCATTTTGTCTAATATCTACTCTTCCCCTTTTCTTAGTGGAAAGCTACCGGTGTTCACATTACTTTGTAAAAAGTACAAACCAAGTATTGACAGAGACCCTACCTACAACAGTTACTTGAACAAAATAGCCCAGATTTTCTTTGGTCTTCCACCTCAGAGACCCAGAAATCAAGGATTATTTGGTATGAACCTATTTTGTCTCTTATGTAGTAGATCAACTCTAACAAAATTCTCATCCACCCTCCTTTTTCTTTTTTTAAATCTTTAGGTAACCTTATGCAGTTATTCAATGATGCTGGCCATGATTCAGACTCAGATCATGAAGATTCATCTTCTAGAGCTAGCCTTACACAGAATAGGAGCAGCCAGAAGATGGAAACTGAAGATTTGGACTGATCATTTTTGTTAATGTGAGTAAAAATTGGAGTTGGGATAAATATCAGGTTAAGGGCTGTGACCGTTTTGTGGCTGGTCAGATGGGTCATAAACACTTTCTTCATCTCTCTGTATTCTTTGTTAATGAACAGTTGATCTATTAGGAAATAAATTTCTTAAGTAATAGGTTCTAAATTAATTATCCATCCAAAAAGATGTATATACGTGTCTGCATGCATTGTAGTTGAAAATGACAACCAAGGACTCTATGCCAAAACTTCTCCAAACATGTGAATGTCTCTCATTCTTAAGCCTACTAAAACTAATTTCTCTTGGGCTTGTGCACTTCCACTGCTGACATCCATTGAGGCAAAAACTGAAGGTAGTAGAGTAAAGTCTATCTCCATTGGTTTACAATTGGGCTTGTCAGGCACTAGGACTAGGGATCTTACTTTGTTTAGCATTTAGAATATGTGATGAATGCTGGTGTGATTTTCTTCAAGCTGTTAATTATTTTAATCATATTTTTATTGTTTTACTAAAAGTTCTGTTATTGTTTTTCTATTGTCATACTATTGTCCAGAGTCTTTTTCTATTTCCCTCTTCTTTTTAAAATAAAAATAGATGATTGAGTGAATACTGAGGGTTGGCCTCAGGCACTTCAAGCCAGGAGAAAGATGATAATGTCATTAAAAGGAACTTTGTGTGTTTAATTCACATTATCTTTCAATACCAGGCATCACCTGTACATAATTTTTATGTAAAGTTTATTTTTTGTTTTTGCTTGCCATTTTTAATAGTCAAGTTGTTTTTTTTTCTGTTTTTTTTTTCTTTTTCTGAAGAAATTACATTAAAGTCTGCTTACTCTTCAAGATTGGACTTAAAATGAATGCTTCCTTACCCACCTTGCTGCGTAAACAAGTTGCCTTTGGCGCTTTAAACCAGTTTTGGAAAATTACTTTCTTTTTAGAGACCAAGCAGCCTTTGTCACCTCTTACACAAACCAAACCAACTGGTAACTGTGTAGTGGTTAGCATCTATTATTCAATGCAAGAGAAATGCATAGGAACTTTTCTTTTAAATGTAACAATTTGCAACTGTTCATGATTTTGATATATTTAACCTGTATAGTTAATTGTTATTTATTTTGTAATACACTTTTTCTCTAAGGATTTAATGTTTCAAAGTTTTTGACCGTGTATGCATGTCACATTTATACACTTTTCCTTTCTTCTGAAAAATGAGTTCATGTCATTGCTCAAGAGAATCCTTTCTTCTGAAAAATGAGTTCATGTCATTGCTCAAGAGAAAACTTTCAGTTTAGGGTGTTGCAGTGTAAGGTTTTCTGGAAGAATGTATGTTTGAGATTTATCTGACGTATTATTCACATAAATATATTCCTCAAAAGTTTAAGCTTGTGGCAATCCTTCAGTCTACTTTACAATCACAGAACCAAATTTGGTTCTAGGATTCAGTGTCATAAATAATCTGAGGTGCAGGTTCATTGGTTTAGTCCTATATTTCAATTTGAAAAACCTAGAGCTTAGTTTACAGGGAAATTCCAGTCTCAAATATAAATGAGGTGGAACACCCAATTTGTTTTAATAACAGATGCATTGGGAAAGAAACAAATTCCAAAGTCTAAAATTTATGAAACCTAAAACAGCATTAGATACAAATATATTTTTAATTTCAATAACAAAACATTTCTTCCTTACAGACAGCCAATACCAATACCCTTACAGTCAGTCAGTTCTCATCTTGGTCTGGCACCAAGGGGTTTCTCACTTCAGATTGGGGGTGTACACCGACTTCAGTCAAAGTCAAATCTAATTTTATTCATGTATGCCAATAATAACTCAATTTTGACAGTTTTTTTTTTTTTTTTTGGGGGGGGGGGGGTTACTTTTAGAATGGAATGAACTTTCTTGGTACTGTTCATACACAGCTTATGGCTATGAAATAAAATGATGAAATTATTAGATAGAAATTACTAATGTATGCGATCATTAAGTAATAGTATGCCTCTATTTCAATTACCTGAATTGGAGTTTTGGCTGCTTTTCACCCTTAATGATCTAGTTCCATATATTGTTACTTTTTAACTTTTAATTTAATTTTTTTTGAGACTTTTGTGGAAGTGTACACCTTTACAACTTTTCAAAGTTAGTATACCCCTTAGTCTGGCACTCAGCTCAGCACATCTCTCCGCTACATATTGCATGATTTCAAGATAAAAGTATACATGGGAATTAAAATGACACCTAATGGCAGATTATTGCCATGATAACACATACTGCTACCTATCATCCTATTCATTGGGTTAAAACTGTATTGCACCCTGTCATTTTAAAAGCATTTACAAGTGATGCATTATGTGGAACATTTACACACTCTGGCCAGGACAAACAATACCTTTATTGACTGCACTAGGGCAAAGGTCATATTTCCATAATACAGAAACCATATTTACACATTACTTTTGAGATCAAAGCTAATGGATTGATTTGAACATTTAAAGATTTGTTACTTAACAAAAAAACACAAAACAAGATTTTTCACAGAAAATACCTTTTGTTTGCCTTAGATTTACAAGAGGTAATTTTCATGTGAAGTTACCCCATAAAGAACTGAAAAACATGACTAGGGGATGAAACCTTTTAAAAACTTGTTAAAATTGGCTACAAATTTAAGATTACACAAGTTAATTAACAAAGGGAAAAGAAATATATTGCACCTATGTGGAAGAAATATAGAGGAAGACAAAGACAAAAGAATGAGGAAGCGCACCTCATGTGATTGAGTGGTAAACTCTAATTTTTTATAAACTTCCCACTTTGTACTGCCACACACAGCCTAGTCCAGTTTGGAGCAAGATTATTGCAATGTAGAAAACAATTTGACTGTAAAAGTAGATTTATATGATTGCATAATCCGACAAGATTTAGTTGTCTACATAGCATAAAGGCACTAAGTGAGAATCAGTAAATCCCCAACATGAGTATTTCTTCAACGTAGAGGATCAATAAAAAAAGGGACCCAAAGCATAAACCAATTACAATGGTGCTCACTGTAACATACACATTTCAGTTCTTGATGGCATTGGTCCAGAATCATACAAATCTACTTGACAAAAAGGAAATCAAAAAGCTTCAGAACATCTAATTACTGCTTTAGAGAGTGGTTGTAAAGAGACTAAATCCGAAATCTTGCGCTAATCATCCATGAGGACACAAATGAAACAAATTACACATAGAAGTTATCAAGATCTGATTGTTGAGACATCGACATCTATGAAAAGAGGCAAAGGGTTATCAAAGATACACAGGAAAGATAAGATCAAAATTACTTATGAAATTACCTAGTCAAAGCAATCACGAGGAAAGGAGCAATGACTAGGGAAATTACTATCACAGTATTGATATATATATATTATATACGTACTACTAAAGTATGTTCAAACCCCAAATGGCGATTAGAAGTTCATTAAATTAAAAATGCCAAGGAGAGGGGATTTGGTACACTAATACTGCACTACAAATAACGAAGGGTGTTACCATGATGATTCACATATTGCTTAAAATTAAAGGTACAGAAGAACCAGCAGTCCATTTCAATTTCACTATCTACTTATCAAATAAACTGAAATTACTACTTATGCATTCCTTGGCTTATTAAACTAAGTACCAAATATCAAAGAGAAATTGCAATCTTCAAATAATGTTGTAAACCTTGCATTAAAATCTCACATCATTGGTGTTGACAGGGAATTATTAATAAGAAAACGAATGGAATAATACATAGGGTCACTATTGTTTTAACTTTGATCCCCGATGGAAATACTTCACTAGTTGGTTGTCAACATCCAAATCCCCAGCAAACCTAATCTACAATCAGTTCAATCACCCGACAGATAATGGTCATGTGCATTGTTTGATTCTTAGGCCAAAACACACAGCATATTTGGCAATATGCTTGTAAAACCTCTGAAACTAATGCACCAGAGCATCTGATTTTACATTCTAATAAACCACTCATCAGAACAACTGTACCTTTTCTGCTATGTACTATATAAACATTACGTAACAACTTTGTATCAACTAACTAAATCGTTCTTTGGTGTAAAAACTGACAAAATGTCAAAGACAGAGAGAAATCAATTTGAATAGGAATTGAAGGGTACACTCACTCATGTCTTGAACACATCATAAATTATCACAAAACAACATTTAACACATAATGGAAGCTTCCACTTGTTCTAATGTGAGAAATAGTAAATTTACTAGTATAAAAAATCTGCTTGAAGAAAATCTCACGTGTTCTATACAAATATATAACATTAATAATAATTTAAAATGGAGATCTTCTATCTCTCCTGAGAATTTGATTACTTAGACAGCTCGTAAATTTGTGGCAGGTTTTGGCTTTCCAGAGCGTGTACAGCATACAAAGATTTTCCTGAGAACAGATGAACTGCTACCATCATTTATGGTTGGTGTTATAAAAGTAGATGTGTTCTTTTGTAAATACCATTTTTGTTTCAAACTACGATATATCTCTAATGCAGGTAAAACTAAAAGTAGAAGGCCGGAAATAGCAATAAATAATCCTGCCAAGTAGAATGAGAGGTCATACTTTCCACTTAAATCATAAAAATAACCTGAAAGAAACAAAGAAGAATTTAAAATACAGAGTACAAAATTGAAATGTCATCAAAAATTGAACTGGTAGTTATATATCTATATAGACATTTTAGCTACTTACCAGCCATTGGAGGACCAACAAGGTTTGCTATGCCTTGAACAAGGAGGAGAAGACCATATGCATTGGTAAATCGTTCAATGGAAATAAGTTCAACAAGAATGATTGATGTGAGAGAATAGTTAGCAGCTATTAAAAGTCCAAATCCACCAGAAACAACACTCAACAATCTATAGCTATAAACAGTCAAGGAGGGAATGAGGGCTACAACCAAGCCACAACCTCCCATGCAACCTGCATAGACAAGTCCTGGGTTTGCCCAAGGTCTGTCACCCATCCAGCCCAGAACAATCTGGAAATGAGATAAACCAGTAGATAAGATAAAATTTGCCCACGCTTTTGAAATCTCCTTAATTAACAAGAAAAAAAAATTGAAGAGGAAAGTACTTACTTCTCCAATCATGTTCATAATTCCAATCACACTGAATAGGAATGATGCATCTTCTTCTGTGTAATCAAATTGAATGGCATTGTCCATCAGGTACACGTAAGGAACATCATACCTACAAAAATATTAAGAGCTTAGATCTTTAAAATTGGTCAGGAAAAAAAAAAAGACAGCTTAATTTAAAATTTACTTACCATGCATACAGTAAAAAATTTGATAGGGCAAAGAGAGAAAAACGCATATCCAAAAAATGTGAGAAGTCAAGCATGTCAGCTAAGACATACCATAATTCCCACAAACCAGCATACCACTGTGAATCATACAAACATTTATAACATTTATAATGTAGTTACGGTAAATATAACTTTACTCAAAATTTGATCAATTACAAACCTCATCCTTTTCCTTGGCAATAGTCGTCATCGAATTTCGGTAAATGTCGGGACAAGAAGAGGCACGAAGACGATATCGGTTTATGTTCAGCATTGCTCCTCGGTATGTTAAGGAATGTCTGTGTACTCGTAAGTCTCGTAAATATGATGTTGGTAGTTTACGAACTTGTTGATTTTCGCTATCCACAGGTAAAGAAGACCGATGGGCTAGTCCATTACCAATGCCATTAGGAATATTTTTTTCAAACACCAAATCAACATTATTATTCAAAACAGCTTTTGTTGTCAGCTCAGGTATGTTAGCATTCAGTACATTATCTTCAGTTATTGATTGAACTCCATTGCAGCTTGCTACAGGACAATTTATGTTTTCAATTTTAAGTCCATTCTTCTTTATGTATTCTAAATTTGGTTCTAAATGAACAGATTTGGTCTCAAGTTTGTCTGAGCAATTTTCTTCAGCCTCTTCTTTAGTATTTTCAACATTTAACGTATCTGTCTCCTGTGTATCATCAAAATTATTAAGAAGCTGTGTTATACAATCAGCCTTGTTTTCATCCTCTAAATCACGCGCAATATCTTTGATGATTTCTTGATTTTCATCAGGGGGTTCTAAAATAGCACGATAAACCTGAAAAATAGAAAAATAATAACAGTTTTGCTACATGTGGGAGACCTTCAATGAAATATTTTGCCTAGTACCAACCCTTTCAACTGGATGAATTTCAATCACTTGATGTTGAGAATCGTTTAGGCGTCCAGAGTCACTAAAACTACGAGATGCCAGCAAGTTAGGGTAGTTGTGTTGCAAAATTCTAGGGGGAGAAAAAAACATTTTTGATGTATGATAGTGGGAAGCAAATTAAAACCTTAACATGTTTAAGTATTCAAATCTCAACATGGAAAAAGCAGCACAACTTAGACTTACTTGTAAATTTGACTATTTGTGCTTAGTAATTCTAAAACTTCAATAGGTACTTTCTCTTTATTTCTCACAAAAGTAGGCAAATTAACAAGTGAACTGCACATCCGAGACGCCGGATCAACATTTACTGCATTTCCATCCCCATATTGGAATGCTGCTGTACCTTTATTGAACAAGAAAAATATCTTAACAAATGTTTAATGGGATTTTTTAGTGTGTAATGCACTGTGAAGTTTACCTGGTGTCTTTAAGAGCTTGCGTAGCTGTTCAACATCACAAATGTAAGGTGATATGCCATTGGACATTGTGTCAGCACTAGACCCATTGGTGCGACCAGATTTAATTGAGCTTCCAGCATGGTGTAACTTTCTCCTGTGTCTCCGAGCACCTCTTTCCAATTTAGCTTTCTTAGCGCGCTCGGCACGAGACCGAGTTGTCCATTCTAAATCTCTCATTAGTGCTCCACAAACACAAAGATTTAAAAGAAGCCCAGCTAGAATAAGCACTGTCCCTGATGGAAAAATAAAGGACCATCAGTTCATACAATTCTAAAGTGAAAATGTATCTGAAGAAAGAAAATTAATTTCTTACCTCTCCATCCATATTCTTTTAAAAGCTTTTGAGTTAAAGGTGCAAACACAAAAGTGCCAATGCCTGAGCCACAAACTGACAGACCAGTAGCCAAAGAACGCTTGCTGTCAAAGTAATATGCAACAATAACAACTGCTGCCACATAGCATAAAGATAGGCCGAATCCAGCAATAACACCAAAAGTAAGGAACAACATCTCCAAAGAATTTGTAAAAGACGATGCAACAAAGCCTGCCGATGCTAGAAGGGCGCCAGCAATTGTGACGCGACGACACCCATACCTAATGAGAAAATTTATTCTTGAAATGAGCTTGTTACACAAATAGGCAATAAAGACACAAAAAAGAGAAAGATTTTCGTAATACCTGTCTGTTAAAAAACTTGCAACTGGCCCGGACAAGAGTGGCATTGCCATGAAGAGAGATCCAATCCATGATGTGTATGCTTTTCCCTCATTAAAATAATTGAGAAATTCAACATAAAGAACCCCAAAAGAAAAAGTTATCCCATCAGCGATTAAATTAACCATAAAAGAGGCCGCAACAACCACCCAACCCCAGCCACCATCTGGGCGACTTGGTTCGGAAAATTTTTCTGTGGGGAAAAGATGAAGGACATGTAAATAGTACTTATATAATACCTCAATTTTCAAGTTTGGACAATAAATTAGGTAAGGAAGTACAAGTTTTACCTAAAGAAGAATCATCATCAGAAGAGGAACTGCTACTACTACTACTGCTTGAACTACTGCTGGTTGAACTGCTGTTGCTGTTGCCTCCTTCATTTCCACTGGTATCACTGGAGCGCGAGGTGATTGACACACTTGGGCTGGCACACTGGTCATGGTGTTGCGAATACTGGTTCCTTCCGCATGGTTGACCACCGTCATCCTTATTTGTTCCACCTTCCCAAGAGTGGATATTTTTCTCTTCCTCCTATATCAACATGGATCTAACATTATTTTGGTCCAAATAACTTGATACACTTCACAACATCTAAGTCCATTTAAAACTTGTTACTTAAAGATAATTAAACTAAAATTCTATTTAAGAAAAGAACACTCACAAAAAGTAACGGAAGCTAAGGCTCTAACAGCAGCATGGCTAGCAGCTAGCACATTAACTGTCAAGCACTCTACTAAGTCATCTTCCTATCAGATAGATAAGCTTGGCTGGTCCCTCACCCCTCAAACACCCGAAAGGATACTTTTTGATTCCAAATAATCAGATTAGCCATTTAATAGGCGCAATAAAAACCTCGGCTTTCTTTCACAAGCAAACGACAAAATAACGTCCGAAACACAAGAGAAACAAATGTGACGACCAGCTTGACAAGCGTCGCGACAAAGTCCCATTAGCAGCCTCTAAATCACGAAGAGGCCGAAAGCTGTTATCACTCTAGGGGCCGAAGCGAGGCACTGACCGCGGTACAATCGGCTGCTCCCGCCACTGAGTCTATGCTATCTAGCGACACGTCGACAATCGAGCCTACCTGCTTCTCGAACTGCACGTGGAGGCGGCCCGCCCTGCCGGGCGGATGCGGGGGCGGCTGCAGGCCTGCGCCGGCACGGACTGCGTCGGGGGCGGTCACTGAGGCCACTGGGGCCACTGGGGCGGTCACTGGGAGGGGGGCAAGCGTGCGGGCGAAAGCGGGGGCGGGGGCATTCAATGCCAAGTGTTTATGTGCCGAGTCCTCGTCGGCTGCCCCTTCACTAGAGAACATGTCATCCATTCTTGCAGGTCCCGTCGGAACCGCCGACTCGGTGTGGGGCCCAGCCTCAACAGTGGGCGGGGCGGGGCTGGGGGCGCAGCGCGGTGGCGGCACTTCAGATCCTCCATGCGTGGACACCTGCAACACGGAGAGCAAACGAGGCAGCGTTAGCGTCAGCGAGTCCTGTCGTCCTCCTGTCTCGGCGCGGCCCGCCCGAGGCCCGCCCGGTCCGGAGCGCCTGCAAGACGCGGCCCCGGCAACCTGAACGCATACCTGCGCGCGCGCTGCCTACCTCCCAGGCGCTCCGGAGCGTCCCGCGCCGCGCCGCCGGGGAGCCGCCCAGCCTGGCGCCGGTAAAGAGGAGAAGAGAAAAACACGGTCGACGAAAACAGAAAATGAGGGGCCAGGCAGACGTTCCTCACGGGCGGCAAACTTTCTTCTTCGCAAACGACGGAGTGGCGGCGGCGTTGCAGCACGGGGGCCCATAGTGCTCCCCCTGTTCAAGGTCGAGGGGGAAAGTGGAGGGGGAGGGGTACATGTCGGCTTAATTGTGCCCTTGTCTCAAGTCACCTCTTCCAGAGCCCCCTCCCGCCCCTCCCCCCGCTCCTTCTCGGAGTGTCACTGAAAGAGTAATGGCGACCCAGCCTCGCGCGGACTCCACGGCGGTGAGAAAAGTGCGGAGCTCGGAGGTCGCAAGGCTACAAACATAGTGGATTGGATTTGCTAGAGAGCGTTCCGAAACGTTGAGGGATTCCAAGAAAAATCTCCAGTAATTCCCACACTTGGTCTTATATATACGTCCCCATTAATAGTGCATCACATTCAAGATTGCTGGGCGGCCGCTACGTCACGACTGCCTTGCTGCCCAGCGAAGCCTGCATTCCGCCAGGCTTTGCACTTTCGGACTATCTCTCTTCCAGTCTAATAGATTTCGCGGACCCATAAAAAAGTGCGGGAAATGGACCGACCATCTTTGCCCTATGAATGGGCCTAGAGGAAAATGAGGCCATAAAAGCACTGCCCAAATTATATGACAGTGCATCGTCACGCGCTTGCCAGGGAGTCAAACTCGAGGGGCAGGGAGGGTAGGAGGGGCCTGAAAGGACTTCCAGTGGAGAGAACAGTGTTTACTTTGGGTAATGGGGGACGAGGCGCCTTCTGCTCGACGGCATCTATTCATCCCTGGAAGCACGTTGCACGCCCCACTGTAAAGCGGGGAGTCAGAGTTCCTCGATTGGGACAAGAAACATATGGCAGTAGAAATTCAATGCTTAACAGTGTTTGCAAGAGCGCAAGTGCCAGGTTTTATTGGCGTACCTTCAATAATAAAACCTGGCAGAACTTTGGGATGAATTCTTTAAGAAAAAACTCGTGCGACGCGCACTTTGTCAAAGGGGAAGGCCAAGAGCGCGACCTCCATTTGGCATTCTCTCCCACGGCCTCCTCACCACGTATCACGTATATACCCCCATGAAATACCGCCCCCATTTCGGCCGCTCCAGCAGCCGCTCCCCAGCCGTCTATCCACCTCAGGGCCGCAGGGCCCGCGGGGACATCCCGACGTACGCCCAGGCCGCTCCGGCTGGCCATACGGCCCTACGGCCACGTGCGGCCCGGGTGGCGTGGTCCATGCGCCCGCGGGCCAGCCTCCCACGTGGACCACCACGGAGGATTAATGAGCAGCGACCAACACAAAGCACTGCAGCTATGGGCGATTCCCTCTCCCACTGTGCAAAAAAAGTAGTTTTAAAGGTTTACAGGGAAATTTCCCTTGACGCTACTTGTAAAAATTTCAATATGTAATCGTAAAAGTTCATGCAGTACGTATCGAATTACAATGCATTGGCGAGTAAAAAATGTGCTCTGGTCCGGGTAAATTCACAACTTACTTTGTAATTCGAGTTTGCAAAAATTGTGAAAATGTGCGACAGTATTTTCCACAATGCCCGTCTCTCCCCTTATGGCGCGCGGCATGGAGATGAACGATTACACTGAAAATCCAATAAAGAGGGTGCGAATGCCACTCACTTGGATTTATAGAGTAACGACGTAGTGTCATTAGTTTTCAATGGTGCAAAATGCACATGATAAGCCCTCACTCGCCATAGCTCGTTAAGGGTCCAGCTTCGTGACAAACTCGCTAAAATTTTGGGAAAACTAGCGCCAAACTTGCGCTAGACTCGCATCCTGCTCGCACCCAACTCGCTTCAACTCGTTGTACACCTATATTGGGAGTGGGGGACCCTTTCGATCCGATGAGCCCATTGAGGCGAGAAACGGTCAGGAAATATTATTCGCACTGCAGACAACAAGCTGCCGAAAGCTGCCGATGGCATTCCCCCTGCAAGAAGCGCGCGGGGCCGGAGTCGCGGGCTTCCTAGTCAGATAGGAGGAGAGCAGAAAAGCAAAAGCAAGTGCCGCGCGCGCTGTTGCGGGACAACGACTCTTCCTTGACCTACATTCCGAGATGAGAGCGACGAGGATTGGATGACAAGTCCGCAGCATCCTCGCCTCGGCCGCGCGATGCAGGGGACCCATGGACCATAAAGGCCTCTGGCCGCGGGGGGTGGCAGTGAGACGAGAGGAAGTGGAGTGGAATCGATAAGTAAAAATGCGCGCAGTAAGTAATTAATTTCCACAGATCGAGATCGAAGCACGAGTGTGCTGTACCTGTACAGTAGCGCCGTTTCATCCCATGCCGCTGCGGCCTTCTCCAACTAATTTTGAAATGGCTTTTTTTTCTTTTCTTTTTGCAGTCGGTTTACTGCGAGCACATATTTATTATATGCGTCGCCATATGCCTCCTCGTTGATAACGCGATAATCGACGAATCGCAATAAACTCGTTTCTTGGAAGAAAATCTCCCCCGCTTATATACTTTTGACTTGAGGCGACAACGCCAACGACCGCGCCTGACGTGTGGATGGTCGTCTACATATCTGCACGTCGCCCGCACGAACGAGCGCAGATAGACACACACACAGCAGACAGCTATAGACGCACACATGACATGAGGAGAAGTGAAGGAACGGAGCGATTGCATGGCGATGTCGCGTATCAGCGATAATAAATGCGAAACAACGAAAAATCCTGCAAGGGTCGAGGCAAGGGTCAAGCAGCTTCATTCTAACGGACGCGGTTATGGTCGCTTCTGCCGTGCTCACCGACGACGACAAACAAAGCATGTAACAACTGCGTCGCGCGTCGCATCTCGTCCAGCAGCGTCAAGGCACGCCTGAAAGGTCTATAAGGCCGGCCCTGCAGGCACAGGCCCAGGGCCGGCAGCGCCCAGCCCTGGTAAATAAATAAATAATGGCACGGCCTCGGGCACAGCGTGGTGGCAAACAAGCACGGCTTGGCTTGAATCGCAAAATCGTGAAATTTGCGCAGTGCGACGCACTTGGCAAAAGAAAACGCTTTTAAAATATCAAACGCCCTCGCGCACACTGTAAAGAAAATTATCGTGATTTTACGACATTTTCTCGGTTAATTTTCTATTACGAAAACTTCGTTTCTAACAAATTACGATACATTGTTATTTTACGAATTCGCTTTGTAAAATCCCAAGCTCTAACTAAAGGGTATGAAAATTGTAAATATTTTAGTCAAATTTTGTGTCTTACGACCCCAAAAATTGCATTCGTTACGAAATGTATTCGTTACTTTACGAAATGTTTTCGTAAATTGGCACTTACGAAATATTTTCGTAAATTAATTTTTACGAAGCATTTCGTATCTTATTTTTTCGTAAAATCACGAAAACGTTTTACAGTGGCATCTTTTTCTTCTTCAAAACTCGCGCAAAAAGTAATGTTGACGTACTTTCGTAATGACGTTTCTTCGAAGCCAAAAGTCAATACCAGGTGGTTGGTTCGCAGCGCCGTCCATTGAACCACATGGTACACATTTTTTATTTTGATTGTCTCCATAAACACGCAGAAGAGGATAACGACTACAGCGCAGCACAGAAGTAATTTTGGGTATTTGAAGATTTGCAATCCCCTTTCGTATGCACAGGCACAGTGGTAGAGATTTGTAGTGCCTATGATTTAATCATGGTGTCACTCAGAAAGTGTGCCCGTCATTTGCAGTTACCAAACTGCCAGCCTATGTAAGCTCTTATGGCGCCTGGTGGGTAGGCAACATCTTGCCTGCAGTGCATGTGTGTACTGCGGGGTGGCCTACCCCGAGTTTCGCAGGCGCCAAGCTCCAAGCCCCCGGTACTTTGCCGAATAAAATCGGAGGGTATCTTCCCCACAAAGTGGTCATGCCGCACTCAATGTGTAATATCTTTTTAAAGCACGTTCGGCATATATGTATAACACACCCTCACCTGAATTCACTGTCACTTACTAGCATTAAAACCGTCATTTTCAGAAACAGGCACCGGCCCCACACTATTTTTCGCCCGATACGACTGCACTCTACGCATCGCGCGTCCCCGTATGAGGGGGTGGGCCGGACGACGACGACGGGAGCGCCGCGGTCAGTGTATCAGGCCCTTCAGAGGAGACGACACACACAGCTAGCGCGCGAGAGGGAACACGACGTACTGCACCATCAGCAGCAGCCTGAGTCGAGCGGGCGGGCCGAGCAGAGCGGGGCAGAGCAGGGCAGGGCGGGGTAGGGCGGGGCAGAGCGGGGCAGAGCGGGTCAGGGCGGGACAGAGCGGGGCAGAGCGGGACAGAGCGCCACATACGAGAAGAAAGGCGGGGCGGGGCGTGGGAGCCTTATCACGGTTCGCCCGGCCCCGGCCCGGCATGGGGGGAGCGTCCCGTTGTTGGCGGGAACGGAACGGACTATACTCACAATAATTTTCGGTTTTGGGCGCGCGGCGGCGGGGCGGCGTGGCCTGGTGGGCTGCGGTCCGAGTCCAAACGCCCGCTCCATACCCCATCCCCCCGGGCCGCCGCCGCCACGCGCCAGCAGAGCCGCGCGACCCGGCCGGACCCACAATCTGTGCCGCTCCCGGGGGCCCCGTGGGACCACGCACGGAGCGGCGGGCTCGAGCAAGAGCATATTAGCTTGCACGGGGAGAGGGGAAGATGACCGGTCATTCATCGAGAGAGCCGAGCGAGATAACGAGCAGCCTTGCGCGGCCCGCTGCTGGACATCGCAGCCTTCATTCCGAGAAGAAA